GGAAAAATTCTTTTCTTTTATTTTACATGATGAGTCATACTCATATTGGAGAGATAGACCCATTATCTTAAAATCTTTCTTGTCTTAAAATTTGACTTTCCCATCTTCAATATACATATATATATATATGTAAATTTAAAATTTTAATTCCTAAACTCAAAATTTTAACTATTTAGATGTCTTGATTCTCTTTTTTTTTTTTTTATTTTTTATTTAATTTTATTTTACTTATTCTTTTTTTTGTTTTAATTATTCTTTTTTTTTTTTGAGATATAAAGTGATAGTATTTTTGGTGATGTAAAATTTAAGTCTTAGGTTTGACACTCCTCATTTCTTAAGAATATGTGTTAATATTATTAATATAATTGTCACTTAAAACAAATTAAACATGATGCATTGCAAGCCAGATATCCAAAAATCACCAAATAATGATGCATGCTACAAAAGTGAGGATGTGTTCATGCGATTTCTCATCATATTGCCTCATGATTTGTCATGCAACTCGGAAACTCGATTGACTGCAAAAGAAAATGCCACATGAACATTAAACGTGAGAAGAAAAATTCAATCAGAGAATGGAGGGGAACACTCTTGGAGGAAATTAATAGTAGGCAAAATGAGAAAAATAGAGGAAAACTAGGAGATGAAGATAAAAAAAACCCTAGTCAAGAGTCTTAAGACCTCCCCTATATCTACTCTTAGCCAACCAGTTGCTTTTTGCTCCCTCTCCTTCACTCCTACAGCCCTTGAATTCCATGTGCCTTAACCCACTTGTGGCTAGTCTTTTAACTAAGGAGGGTCAAAGAAGTGAATAAATAGGAAAGAAGATTTGTATTGTAAGTCACAAGTTCTAGCAATTCAGGGGGTTTTTTGGCTTATGACTCTGGTTGTCTTCTTCATTTAGTAGGAAGCAGAAGAGGAAAACAAAATGCATCATTTTCCCGTTAAAAGCAGTCTTGTTGATTCAGGTAAAGAAACTACAGGCAATGAGCAACCTCTTTGTCCTAAACCTCGCCGCCTTGGCCCCACCATGCCGGAGTTTCTGAAGCCTCTGAGATGTACTAATCACAGGTTTGGTTAATTGATTTGATTTTTATATACATTCTTCTTCTTCTTGCTATTTAGATTGAACTCATTAGTTTCCTGTTCTGTTCATTAGAGACATAAACACTGAACATGGGGGAAGTAGAGTTCTTAACATGATTGCCGAAAAGGTCAGAAATTTATGCCACATTCCATCATTCTCCCAATTTATAACTGTCTGTTATCCTAAAATTCTAATCACTTCAGAAATCATTCATTTAAATTTCTCTAACAGACGGTTGATGAAAGGGAATTCACATGCACGGGATGCTCGCCGGCGTGTTACGCCGGGTCACCGCCGGACAGAACAGGCAACCCCTTGGTTCACGACGTCCAGTTCCTGCTTCAGATGGAGCTCCTTTCACCCTTCACAAGATGAAAAATACCAAACTTTCAGATAAATTCGGCTTCACCTCTGTCTTTTTCCGGTGGTCTTTTCCTTAGCATCTTCGTCCATTAGTATGAATTTTCCGATTTAATCATGGACCTCTCTCTGTAAAGTAAATACATATATTATGAGTCGAATTAGACTCAGTTGTATCTTTTGTACATACTATTTTCATAATTTTTGTCGGAGACTATGAAATTTTGTTTCTTTCTGAGATTTTCAATGAATTTGAAACTTTCCCGTTTGAATCATTTGTGCAGATTCAAGAAAAAGTCGTCCCATTTTTCTTAAATTGCCTCTGTAATTGGTGCTATAAACTAAGAATAAAAGGAACCACCTTTTCAACGTCTTAAACTGTCATAGAAATATAAGGAGACGAGTAGGTCCTTCCCCACATGCAGCTTACTGCTTCACTCCCTCTGTAACAACAAGAACAGCAGCAAAAATCTTGAATTCCTCCGAAATCATCTCCTCCTCTTTGAACCCACATTCAATCTTAGCTAAAGGTTTCGACTTTCAAATGCAAATCTTTCTAGAGTTTCCTTAATGACGGAGATACGAATGGGGTTTTGTTTGAAGACGATGGTCTTCTTGTTTCCCATCTGGCTTTTTAGTTTCGAGCTCTGCCATGACCGCATCTTCACCTTCGAGATGCACCACCGGTTCTCTGAACCGGTCAAGAGCTGGTCCAAGTCCACCAGGAGGCTCCCCCATTTGCCCGTAGAAGGCACTTTCGAGTACCACGCCGTGTTGGCTCACCGCGATCGTCTCTTTGGAGGCCGGATACTCGCCGACTTCAAGGGACCTTTCGCATTCTCCGATGGAAACTCCACTTATCGAATCAGTTCTTTGGGATTGTGTGTGTGTCTCCTTTTTCACTTTGAAGGCGCTATCTTTCTTTTCTGTTCTCGAAAATCTTGATTTAGGGTTTTCAGAATTTAAATTTGCGTTCTTTTTTATGGGGTGGGATTTATGCAGCTTGCATTATACAACGGTGCAATTGGGGACCCCAGGAGTGAAGTTCATGGTGACACTAGATACGGGGAGCGATCTGTTTTGGGTGCCCTGTGACTGTACCAAACATGCTCCCACTGAGGGAGCCCCCTATGCCTCTTTAGTCTTTATGTTCTTTACTCTATAATTTGTCCATTTAGTTCCCTAGGCCTGTTATCAAAACAGAGTATTTAGTTTGCAATAAAGGTAGAACTGTGCTTGAGCTTGATTGGCGATTTGATTGGCGATTTAAGTGCACAAAAATGGAATGAATCTCTGGTGTTTTGGCCATTGTCTCAATGGAATTAGTATTGGGTTGAAAATAGCTGCAATTCTGTTTTTTGGTCTTCATTATTTCTGCAAAACTTTTCACTGTAATCCTTGTCCTCTGTTCATTTTGGATGAGTCCCACCGAAGCATAAGATTATAATCAATTCAATTGAGTACTAGTAATTGTAGAAACCGGGTCTCATTGTGTTGAAGATGCAATTAAAGATGCATTGTACTTTTAAAATTATGTGTTTTGTCATCTTTCTTGGCTTCACCTGTGTGTCTAGTAGTCGTTGTAGGTACCCTAAACAAAGCAAATTTGTTGTGGCAGGATTTTGAGCTCAATGTATACAATCCTAGAGGATCATCAACTAGCAGAAGGGTCCCTTGCATCAGCAGCTTGTGTGCACACCGTAATTGCTGTCTTGGAACGTTCAGCAATTGCCCTTACGAGGTCTCTTATATCTCTGCGCAAATTGCTACTTCTGGGATTTTAGTGGAGGCTGTTCTACATTTAAGGATAGAAGATAGTCATCAGGAATCAGTGAAGGCCTATGTCACGTTTGGGTAGGCTCTCTTACTTTGAGCTTAGCTAATTTGATCAGCTTTTGTCCAGCATTGATCTGTTAGTTTGGTAAATCTCAGTTGGACAATATATTGTTCTCACTCTCCTGTTCAGGTAAAAATAAAAATACAAATATGGTTTTGCAGGTGTGGACAGGCTCAAAGTGGCTCCTTTCTGGATGTTGCAGCCCCAAATGGCTTATTTGGGCTTGGCATGGAGAAGATATCTGTTCCTAGCATTTTATCCCAGGAAGGTTTAACAGCAGATTCTTTTTCCATGTGTTTTGGACATGATGGGATTGGAAGAATTAGTTTTGGAGACAAGGGCAGTCCCGACAAGAATGAAACCCCATTTAATCTAAATCCATCCTGGTAAGTGGAAATTTCTCAAAATGCTGATCTGCGAGTTAAGATGGTGTATTTGGCTCTGATGAAAGGTTGGTCCTATTAGTTTGCTTCTTGTCTTCAAATGTCTTGCAGCCCAACCTATAACATTAGTGCAACTCAAATTCGAGTAGGAACTGCTCTAATTGACTCTGAGTTCACTGCTCTGTTTGACTCTGGGACTTCTTTTACATACTTGGTTGACCCAGCCTATTCAAGGCTTTCAGAAAATATTAGTACTTGACATGGTGGAAGCCCGTTAAACTTGTTCCCCTATTTTAAAGGTGGTGTTCCTGTTGGGGGATGCATCCTGCCTATCACTTTGGGCATATTGCCTTGGGCGCTTGGGTCTATTGTTTCTTTGTTCCCTGGGGGGAGGCCTCCCCAGGAGTCGAACCCAAGGTCTCCTTTAAGAGACTTTCGCAGGTGACTTTGGTACCACTTGAGCTGATCAGGGTCACCCGCAAAAATCTCTTAAGGGAGACTTTGGGTTTGACTCCTGGGGAGGCCTCCTCCCGAGGAACAAATAAACAATAGGCCCTAACGTTAAAGGCAATATGCCCAAAGCGATAAGTGGGATCCGTCCCCCTAAAAGTTCCAACATAGCATTTTCTATGTTCTTTGCAGTTTCATTCACAGGCATGCGATAAACAACACTCACCTGATTCAAGAATCCCATTTGAGTACTGTTATGATATGAGGTATGATATTCAGTCCTGTTTGCAATTTCTTTGTTTGGTTGAAATATCTGTATCTATATAATTTTTCTTTATGATACAGCCCTGATACAAATGCTAGTTTGACACCTAGCATGAGTTTAACAATGAAAGGTGGAGGCCTCTTTGCCATTTATGATCCAATAATTGTTATCTCCACTAAGGTAGTTTCTTCCCTCTGGTTTTTGTTAAGTTATTTTTCTTGTTTGCATCAAATGTAGCAATAATCGCTTTGAATACTAATGATTTGCAGAGTCAACTTGTATATTGCCTGGCTATTATCAAGAGCACAGAAATGAATATAATTGGGCGTAAGTCTTTCATATCACATGTAATAGGTTTTATAAGATTTATTGAGTGCTTGCATTTTGTACCCTTAATTTCTAGGAGGTTTTACACTAATAAAACTGCAATGAGTTTGGTACGTAGGGGTCGCGATTCTTTATCTCCTCGCAGCTTATCAATAAAAGGGGAAATAAAAAATGCTAAATTGGGAACTTAACTTTGTTTGATTTAACGGGGAATCATAACAACACTTTAATCAATGATTTATTGGTTCGAGTGGAAGGAACTCGATTCCTCTTAAACAAGACTTTAAGTCCAAATCTTGTGAATGGAGAAACAGCGCCGAAAGAGCTTCCTCCAAATGGAGTTCGACGTAGCTTAATTCTGAATTAATCGGGACCCAATGTAATTATCAAATATCGAGATGTTAGTACAAAAAAAAAAATAATAATAATAACTACACTTCATGAAAACAATTAATGAAAATTATTTGTTGCAATGCCATCTCATTTCTCTATGACCTTTCTTCTATGGGACATTTTTTTATGAAGTATTGCTGCCTTTTTGCAGAGAACTTTTTGACAGGCCATCGGGTTGTGTTTGACAGAGAGAAGTTAGTCTTGGGCGGGAAGAAGTTTGATTGCAAGCATTGCTTTGCTTCATATGCATACTTTTCCTCAATGCTCTCGTATGATGGCCTTAATAACTTGTGAAACCTTGTCCTTTAATCAGGTTACGACATTGAGGAAACCAACAATTTCCCAGTAGAACCACTTTCTTCCTCTGTGCCTTCTGCATTTGCTGCTGGAATAGGTAATTATACTGCTCCACAAAAGACCAGGAACAATTCTCGGACTTCAATTGCCTCACAATCTTCCCAACTCCATGCTTCTCTTCTGTCTTGCATCAAATCTTTCATGTTGTCTCTATTATTGTAGCCATTCTCTAGTTTGCTTTCCCAAGTCAGTTGCAGATCCATTCAATAGCATCATTAGTCTTATCATCATCCTTTATACAATACTCCTTTCCATTCCGCAGACTATACCATTCTCTGGACTCTTTCTATACGACTATATTTATAATTCTTTAGGTCATTTAGCTAGCTGAAAGTATTGATTACGGCCTACATATGCAACATACATCAAATTAACCTTCTTATTGTCCATATTTTAGCTCTTCACGGTTCATCCTTTAGCAGATGATGATAGGTATCTGTTTATACATTGTTTTTGTAACTGAAACTCTCACAGAGAATAGCCATCAGTTGTGAAGTTTTTGTATAAGCATTGCCTCACAACATGTTTTTACTCTCCAACTTCCTGCATTATACATCTCACCTCAAATTTAGACTGAAACCAATCATTTCCCTTATATCTGGGGTTAAATAGAACCGGCTCGTTCACCCTAATCCAGGTTTTCTATGTGCTCACTTGGATTGGGGTTAATTTGGTTCAAGAAAACCATAACTTATTGGGTTGAGACTTGAGACGAATAGAGAGGAGGAAAAGAGAAAATTTTTTTATTAATTAAATTATAATATTAAAAATAATTATAATTTAATTAATTAAATTTTTTTTTTCTTTCTTATTTTCCATTCCTCTCAATTGAAATATATAATAGAAGTTAGAAGTTAGATACATTGGATTGGATTCAACTGATCTCCCTTACCTTATGAATATTGATGGTCTAATTTTCTACCCCGTTAGGAGGGCCCGCTGTGAACCCATCTGAAAATAACATTAAATTGAAAAGTACAGTGTAATTGAATCATTTGTTCTTTTGATATTGACTTCTCACCCCCAAAACGTGTTTGGTTGAACATCAAAAAGCTATAAGGAGGTTAGGCTAAACCTAATGCTAATTTGGATACGAAATCATGCTCTCCTTGAATAGGTTAAGGTTTAGTTTAAGAGCGTTAAGATGTGGTTATAAGTTTTTTATTCTTTTAATTTTTTTAAATATATATAATTTATATAAATATATAATATATATTTTAAGTAATATTTTATATATTTTTAAAATAATAAAAAAATAATCCCATACACGCGTTTCTTCCATGTTTCTTCTCTTTGAATTTGACGGCCAAACCCCCCAATTCACTTAAAAAAAGAGGAAGGTAGAAACAGAATAATCTCTTAAGAAAATATAAAAATAAATTATTTTTTTAAATTATAAATCAAAATAAAACATTTATTTTTTAACAAATTTTATCAATTTTCTATTAAAAAATATTTACATGATAAATGAAATTTATTAAATAATAAATAATTTATTTTAATTTATAATTTTAAAAAATAATTTATCCTTATAATTTTTTAAAAAATAAATTTATTTTTATTTTTATTATTTTTTTTATAAGTGGATTTAAGGTTTTTCCGAATTTGACACGGAAAAGTTGATAATAACACGTAAACGAAGTAACTCCGTACTTGACTGAGAACGCCAATCTCGCACTAATTAGTCTTCCAGGGTGTACTGACCACGGAGTCTGGACAAAGGCAGCCCACGCTTTCCACGGAAGGTCTGCTTTACGTTTTGAAATATCACCAAAATTTTTGAAATGTTTTTTTAATGAGAAAGTGTAATATAATTAAAATTAAATTAAATTAAATTATATTAATTATTAAATAAAAATAAATTTTTTAATATTAAAAAATTTTTATTTTATATTTTAATCCCATTCAAATTATAAAATAAAATATTTTTTTTAAGGCATGACAAGGAGGAGGGGGATGGATTTTTCTGAAGGAATATTGCCTATATGATTCAAATACCAAACCTAGTGAGAGGTGAGGACAATCACAACCACACCCACCCATTAAATATTAATAAGATATTGGAATAGGTTGTTTCAATATAATTAATAATAAGAATTATTATTTAATTTAAATATTTAAATTATTTAATTAAAATCAACCATTAATACTTAACTTGAGAGATAAAAAAAAAAAGATTTTTATGAAGTTTAATTATATAATTTATAAAAAATAAATAATTTTAACTCAGGATCCAAAACCACTTAATCGAAATGCATTGTTATAAACTTTTTAAAATAATCGAAAACCTAATATGTCATCTTGTTATTGACTAAAGTTAACTTTTTCCAGAAACGTAAGATATAAGGCTAGCTACTCTAGCCAGACTGGTACAAAGTTAACCACCATGGACCATTCACATTTGTCACGCGTGCTTTTGTGTTGGTTAACTGATTTGATGCGATTGTTATACAATTAAGAATCTGGACTCTGGATAAGTCTTCCTCAATTCTTTTA